AGATAATAAATATTTCTTTACTTCTTTTCTATTTTTCTGAATTGCCTAAACCTTTTTATGATGAGCATGTGTTACTCATAACTATTAAAGAAACAAAAACTAAGGTTCCTTCTATGGGAGTGGAGCAAGTGAAAATAAAGACAGCTTAATTGCATATTTGCTGTGCTTAGCAAATTAATTTTACCTTAATAAAAAAATTAAGTTTCCTTCCATAAAAAGTCTCAATTATTATAGTTAACAAAAGCAATTTTGAGAATCTGAGGCCTATCTGACAGCAGGTAAATTATGAACTGACCAATCAAATTAAGGAGTCAAAATCTATTTGTCTCAGGTAAGTATTCACTAAGCCATAAAAAAGTCCCTAGTTTTAAAAAATACTATTTATAATGTTAGATAATTTAGCAGCTCCAAAACCCACTGGGGAATAATAAATGCCACTTGTGAGCCAGAAATATAAAGTTTTTATTCAAAGAAGTAAAAAAAAAAAAAAAAAAATGAGTCACTGAGACATATGCAGTTATTTTTGTTTATTTAGTTTGGTTCTGTAGATACAAGTGAAAAATGAGTTTCTACAAAGTGCTTTGGATACTTAAGCTTATGTTAAAAGTCTGGGTAAATATAATAATACTCAAAGAAATAAACTGAAAACCGCAAAACAAATATTTATAACCAAATGTATAACCGCAGTACTACCAATGAAATTCCTCTCTAATGAGGCCGGATTAGTAGCTGCAAACTCAAGTCAGAAAGTGTGATTCACTTACTCCTAAGACTTTTTAAGATTCCATTTATCAGGAAGATTTGTATTTGGTACATACATTTTAACCAATCATGATCAATCATTTCAAAACTCACAGCAATCTCTTTCAGTTAACCAACTTCAGATTTCTTTAAAAATAATTTTTCTCCACTCTTAGGTTATTAGTAAAAATGCAACTTTGGTTTTAGAGGAGGAACAAAGGGGAAGACAGAGTCTTTGTACAAGTTAATAAAACTGCGTGCTGTCATTTTTAACCTCCAACCTATGGCCCCTTCTTTTGCTTTCCCTTTACTTACACTTTCCATCTGTCAACAAGTGCTTGTAATTTTATTACACTGTCCTGTAGTTTACGCAGAGTTGGTATTATTTTACAGAGTTCTGTTAATGGACTGGATAAATGGTAATGCTATTTAAACTAGTCTCCTGCTCCAGCAAACACAGCTGCAACTGTACTACTATTTCTGAGCAAACATCTTGACCTGAGCATGTAGTGCTCTCTCAACCCTTCCAAAGAGAAATTGGAGCAGACAGCAAAGGAAAAGCATATTTGGCTGCGAGTAGCAACCAACCGTGTCGAATCATAATTCATATAACCCTTTTTTCTTTTATATTGCATTTAGAGCCTGCACAAAGCACATATGCTTCTTCCCCTGGCATCTCATTTTCAACCACGAGTCAAATGGTGATTATTTATTACACAAACTCAAAGAAAACCAACATAATGTTCAGCACATCAGATTAGCTGGAATTCAAGCAAACAGTGCTAAAGATCAAACTTGGGTGCATAAACTATATATTTAACCAGTAAACTTTTTCACTGGTGATATATCACAGAAAATGTAGTACTATGTCTGGGTAAAAGGTACAATAAGGCATAAAAAAATAAATTGAGGTATTGATTAGCACCATGTGACAATTGATAAAGCAAAAATAAATCCTAGATTTGTTTCTTTTGCGAGTACTAACGATGTATGTCTCTACTACAGTAAGGCAATGATGGTTCACTTTATCATTTTATATAAGAAGGGGACCCAAAAAAACCCAGAATTGTTTTTGGGAAAGTGGGCCCCTTGTAGTACTGATTTCCCCCACTAGGTAAGTGTTCTAGGAATACATTAGCATCAGTGTACCAGCTAGCTTTGTTGACAGGCTGCGTTCAGCTTCAGGGAATTACTTTTTGGAGATTCTTTCAACAAGTTTGCCCATTTCATGATGGATGATTTACAAAAAAAAAAAAAAAATCTGCCTACATGTCACTGAGCATTCAGTAGTTTTTGACCAAAAATGCCCTACCTTCCCTATTCATTTAATCTCACCCCAAGCAACATTTTTTTTGTTTCCCTGGATGAAAAAATCTTCAGAGTGAAATATTTTGCCAATGTGGAAGAGATGAAACCAAAAATGGCAAAAGTACTAAAAGGGATCAAAATTGACGATATCAAATGACTGATCTGAGCAGTGAAAATAGCATTTCAATAGGTGTACTGCAACAGATGGAGAGTACCTCGAAGGTGACTTAAGTTTAAACAAGTGAGAGTAAATACACAATTTTTTCTAAATAAATTCCAGGTGTTTTTGCATCCCTCCTTGTGTGTGTGTACGTACACACACACACATATATATATTAACCATCAATTATTTTCCTTGTTCCAATAGTTCTCCCTATTATTTGTCAAAAATTCCAGATCCTTTGTTCTGTTATTTGTATCTTTTGTGAAATAAAGTTTGTTTTAAAATGAATATTTTAAAGGATACTTTTACATATGGGTTTGAGCACATTTTTCCATAAGCTCAAATATTTGTTTCAGGAGAGTTGCTAGGTACTTATATCATATGAAGAAAATTTTAACCTGCACCCTTGGTTCTAGAATTACCCTAGACTATAATCAGCTTCACAAGCTTTTGTGCCTTTGTTTATTATATAATTTGAGTAGTGGTTGTTTAATTAGTAATCATCATTAAAATGTGGTCACATGCAGCTAATAACATATCCTATCAAGAGATATATTACTGTTACACCTAAGTGTAATTTAGATAGGCAACAGTTCCTTAACAAAAAGATTCCTGACTTGAAGATGCAGGTAAAAATTACATGTCTAGGTTTCTGTGCCTGTATCCGGTGTCAAATCCCATGTAACCAAGAACATGTTGTCAATATTAAGTACTAAATCATGAAGCGATAAATTCAGGAATATTAAAATATTCACATCCCTCTTGTAACTAGTTCCACCTAAAAAATATAACTTTAGATTCTATTACTCCCCAGCACAAATCATTCGAGTCAAAGAGACACAAAAAAAATTCTGAACACATTTTCTAGTTTCCCATTTCTCATTTTTTCACACGCCTTTAATTAATTAGAAAACATTACCTAGTAGTTTTATGGGCTTTGTTTCTTTAATTCACTTCTTAAGGATTTCAAACCTTTCTTCTTCATATAGCAGCTGCATAAAGTTGTAAAATCATAGCAAAGCAAAAATAAAATATCTTGATCCACTATGCGATATTGTCCAAGAGGGCAAAATGTCAAATTTGCTGATGGAGAATTCTGCAATGCATTAAATGACCTGTAGGGTCCTGGGGAAATTTACCCAAGTACTTTTAGACTAAACATCAAATATTCTTGCTTCTCAGAAATAATGTTGACGTTACTTCCTAAATTTTCCCTTTTTTGGCTTAATAATTTTAATCCCAGATAACAATCATTCCATTTAAATTATATTTTTGCAGTGCTTAGAAAACAGAATTCCCTAGACAGCTGTGTATTGTTTTTATATGCACACTACTAGAAACATTTAACAGTGCTCATTGTATGCCAGCCTTGAAGTAAATTCTTTCAAAATCTTCTCAGTCACCAATAATTAAAGCAGAAAGTGAAACATTATTAAGACCCATGCCGTGGCTCTTTTAGAAACTAAGCAAAAAATATTTAGATAAAATTATCTACTGACATGCATATATCGAATCATTATAGCCATCTACATCCTATTTCCTTAGTAAAAATAGTTCCTAGATAAATGTTGCTAAAAAGACATTCCCAGTGTTTATTTAATTTTTTAAAAAATTACTTAAATTGGTCTAATTAGGCAGCAGAGAACAAAAAGAAGAGGAGAAAGATTGCTAGGTGACTTTGGCTATTTTTATAGGAACATAGTAAAAAAGTCAGACTCTAGAGAGGATATCTGGCATGTCACATGGGAAGTCCTTCCTATAGTGAGTTAAAGTATCAAGAGAACTCTAACAAAGATCCTGGCTACGTGGGGGTGAGGGGTATAGGAGGACAGGCCTCCTACTTCTGGAATTGATAACAACAATATTGAACTAGTAGGCTACAAAGTCAAGTTCTGAAAAAGGCAATATGCTCACTTTCACTACAAACACTACCATATGGGACTTCCCCACTATCCAGGTGGGGGTTACTCTGAGCAATTTATTTTAAATATCCTAGCAGTTTCTTCAAAACATGCAAGAACATCAATAATCATGGCTATTTATTTTTCCAACACTTTGTAGCTTATCTCCCATCTGCACAAAATCACTCATATGGCTGAAAATCTAATTTTAAAAGCTTTCAAAAATGTGTTTTCACTATTACACATTAGGTCAGCGAACAAGCATTCCAGGGAGGAAAAATTGATTCTCCCTAATACTCATATTATGCTCCTTTAAAGAACTACTTCCTTTAACAGTTTATGACGTATTTGATATGAAAACCTTGCCTTGCAGTCATTCATATTGCAGAGTTTGAAATTCTGGCTTTAAAAGAAACATTTAAGGGGAAATTTACAGACCTCTTTAAATACCTTATAATAATATTTTCAGACTAATAAACACTACTATTTGAGTACAGACACAATACCAAAAAAACTGACATTAAAAACCTTAACTTTACAAGAAAACACTGCCAATTTCCTCTTAAAAGGAAGCACGGTAGCAATTTTTCCCTTCAGAACTTAATCAAAACTTCCCATTAAAAAGTAGGTAAATCTTGCCATCATCACATGGCCAGAAGAAGAATAGAATTACAGTAACACATACATAAACCACTGAATGTTAACTAAGTAAAACAACTGGAACCACTGGAAAATCAATCATAAGAAGAAAAAAAAAAAGGACAAACTTCTAATCCATTAATCTAGCGGTGATCAGATTCCAGGAAAACACAAGGAAACAGATCCAAAACATTTAATAAAGCACAAGGTACTACCCAAAGCAACAATAACTATTTGTGTCTACTTACAGCCTGTATAGTTTCGAAGTCCCAAGAAACAGCAACTCAGGAAACAGCTGAAGGTGGTTTCTGTTTAAACGCCTTTTGAGAAAACAAAAACAAAGCTTATGTTACATAGAAAATACCCAACAATGAGACTGTGATTTGGTAGTGTCATGCCTCATCCTGTATTTAAGGAAATAATGAAATGACATTCAAGAGAATTCAAGCATTGCAAATCAAAGAATGGTTACACCTTTTGTTACATGACTCTTGAAAGCTATTTTCCATCATGCTTACTCAGATGATGATTACTGGGGCCTAAACTCTAAACTCGAATCCAATGAAACATCAGTCAACCAGAATATACACAATGCTAAAGGATTTCGTGACTCAGACTTCAGAGCCTAAGTTGGGCAACTTCAATATTCAGCAGAAATACCACAGTAAATGGTGTCTTAAAATAATTCATATACTGTCCCAAATGGCCTACATCTTCAGTCAAGGTATTGTGGGGAGGTAGAAATTTCAATTGTGTTAACTTTTCATTTAGTTGGAAAAATAAAGTGTGAGAAATTATCGGCATGATTTGTCCCATAGGCAAAATCAGAAGAAAACCAACCCAGAGATCAAACCTCAACCCACAGCTCCCAACCCTTAACTGCATTTAAGACTCAGTGTTATAACTAATAGTGGTGTTAAAACTGTTTAAACAATGTTTTAAAATGTTTAACTGATATTGGAATGTTTTTAATGTTTTAGAAAAGAATTTGATTGAAATTCTAATTCAATTTAAGCCCTGATGCTGGGTAATTAAGCTTTCAGGCTACCTATACCTGCTAAATAAAGAGTGAGTAAATTCTGTCTCTGATGTACTGAAATTCCAAACCCATCTGTTTAAAGTGTACAATTTAACATTTAATTAAAAATAATTATCTACGTCTCTGCTTTTCCCAAATTTTAATGAAATAGTGAAAAGCTACTACCAATTGCACACAAGTGAGTTACAAGTTGCTTAGCTCCAGAACAGAAGAGGTCCTGAAATGGATGTCACATTGATGAAACCAGACGTATTTCTTAAGTCTTAAAGCTATATGTTAAGGGGACAGGAAAAAAAAGGTATACCCATCTTGACATACTAAAATGATCAACAGGTGGAAGCAGAATTATACTTATTTAGTCGTCAGATGCAGAAATGGGATCAGCAATTGTAATTTCCAAGAAAGTGTATTATACGGAAGACATTTCTGATAATTTAATATATTAAGAAATGGAAACTCTTGACTCCTTATCCCACATATTTTCAAGCAGAGGGTATATATTTTTATCCTGCAAAGGATGTAATTTTTTAAAAATCCTGTTTAATGTGAGAAGCTGCCAGGTGAACTTCTCAACTTTCTAAAATGCCATGAGGCAATGATGGCAACCATAACTTTTGTTACGTGAACTCACATTTTTAAGAAGCTGGTCATCTACAGAAATGTTCTCAGCCCTTAATAAAATGTATACTAAGAAAAAAGTATGCCAAGACAAGTAAGAAGCAAATGATGAAAGGGTGAATTTACTGCCCACGTACACTAACTTTTATGAATAAAGCCCATAACAAGGTTAAATTTAAAGTGAAACCAATGACTTTTATATGTGTTCTCTATCAGGCACGATTCTGAGAAAGGAGTAGTTCCAGAATGCACCATTATACAAGTTCAATAAAACACAGATTATTACTTTGTTACATTTGTCTCTAAAAATAGATTAAAGAAGTTTGCAGTAGTGATGATCAGAATTTTTTCTAGGAAAGCACTCACTCTTGGAAAGATCTTCATTGTCTAAAGAGTCAATCCCAATTTTTAAAACAGCAGAGATGGGCTTTCATGATGTGATCCAAAGCACTGGATTAACAAACCTCATCAGTGATTCTCCAGCCAAAGCAAGCATGCGCCAAAAGCCCATAGGCCCCACAGAGGCAGATCTCTGTATAAAGTGCTTTCCCTTTTCTCTAAAAGGTGCTTTTTTACATCCTTTGTGAAACTTCACCTGAGTCTCCTACACAAAGTTAGTGCCTCCCTTGGCTGTATCCCCAAGGCATTTGATAAGTAAGAGTCCCTTACGCTGTACTACATTTATTCATGTACTGGTCTCTTTCCCACTAGACTGTGAGCTCTTCAAGTATGAGACAAAAATTTTGTATTCCCTCCTCTCTTCCCTGGCACTTAGTAAGTTTTGAATGTCATCAAAGGGCAAAGAGAGCAAACTGCTCTCATTCAACATTCCCTAATCTACCCTTGCACTTAGTAGGTTCTTAGGAAATGCTCAAAGAGAACACAATGTTCTCTTTGTATTTTAATAGAGTTCAGCAAGGCCCTACCATGTGCATTTTATATTAGGCCAACTTTCTTCAGGCATTCTCCCTGAGGCACCTATCTTAGATTTTATGCCACTCTCCAGCTAACCAAAGCCCCACTATCAAAACTGCTTTCATGTGCTCCAGACAACAGTGTCCTGCGCTCCTTTCAACAACCTCTCTGCCCTCCTTCCCCTACCCCCATATATTTCTAATATCATTTAGAAGTCAGAAAGAATCCAATGATGTAAATAAATTCACAATATACATAACTGCTAGCTGTTGCCAGCTTTCCTCTGAATGAGCTGATATCAGTATAATTTCACATGTTGTGAGAAAGTAAATATTTCTGATCGGGTGCAAATCATGTCTTTTTCTTAATTATCACCATCATTTTCTTATTTTCCGTGGTTCTTAAGCCACTCCACAATAGCCAAACCATATTTAGCTTACTATGTGATGTTCTGAGAAGTTCACAAGAGTTATCATGTCCACGGTTCACAATACCCCCAAGAATAGGTACAATTCTATTGCTGTCTTGGAGAGAGGCACATAGCTCAAGACATAATGCTAGGACTTGAACTCAGGTCGTGTAACACTAGAAAATACCCTCTGAATCATTCCTCTCAAAAAGAAAGAAAAGAAAACAGTAGAAAGCATCCCTAAACAATAATTCAAAATTATGTAATGCTGAAACTTTCCTTTTCACCTATTTTTCCTTGGGAAACACAGTATTATACAGTCCATTTCTTAAATATATATAAACTAATCACCTGAAAATAAGAGTTTTGTTGTTTACAATCTAGCTCTATGTTCAGTTCAGTTTTAAACACCTACTCAAAATGTCTAAAGTTGAGAAAAAATAAAATACATATAATGAATTTTTCTCTGAATTTAAGTATTTTATCATTATAGTCTTACTTTTTTGCCACCTTCACCTCAATATGACTAAACCAACCATGATACATTTCTTTTTTTAAAAACATATTTTTATTATAAAATTGTGGGGTACACTTAAGGGTTAGGTATACAAATGTGCATCGTCTAGGCACCCTTGTTAATAAGGGGTGTCTCCCCATCCTCAGACAGATATTGACTACCATTAGTCCCACCTCCCTTCCCCTCCCTACCACCCCAGAGTTTCTCACCACTGTTAATCCTTTTTTTATAGTATTATGGTAGTTGTTCAAGGTCCACTATCTGAGTGAGAACATGTGATACTCAGATCTTTGTTTCTGTGAGAGATCACTCAGTATTATAGACTCTAGTCCATCCAGGTTGCTGCAAAATTCATGATTTTGTTCTTTTTTATGGCTGCATAGTATTCCATTGTGTATATGTATCACATTTTTTTAATCCAGTCCTCTTTTGATGGACAGCATGGTTGGTTCCAGGTTCTTGCTACTGTGAACAATTCGCTCCAGGTTCTTGCTATTGCGATCAACATTCGTGTGCAGGTATCTTTTTGATAGAGTGATTTGAGTTCTTCAGGGTATATTCCCAGTAGGGGGATTCATGACACATTTCTATGTTGAGCATAAGACAAGGTAGTATCACACAAAAACAACAGGTAACAGTAAGTGATCTTGTAGTATGCAAAGAAAAAATAGAAAAAAATTTCCTTTTTTTCTTTAAAAGAGTATCAAGATACTTTGACTTCTGTTCTTCTATTATCTCTCCCATCAATACCAAGGTTAAATGGTCAGATAAATATTAAAATAAAAAGTGAATATTCCAAAATATTCAATAAAAGAAGAGTGCAAAAAGAGAAATTCTTGTACTCCAATCAAAAATTATATCCTTAAACTAAAGAACACTTTTTTTCTTGAGTTAAAGTCTCACTCTGTCGTCTAGGCTGGAGTGCAGTGGCATGCTCGTGGCCACCACAGCCTCGACCTGCTGGGCTAAGGAGATCCTTCTGCCTCAGCATTCCAGGTGGCTAGAACTACAGACACGTGCTATCATGCTTGGCTTTTTTTTTTTTAATTGTAGAGATGAGGTCTCACCAAGTTGCCCAGGTTGGCCTCGAACCCCTGAGCTTAGGCAATCCACTTGCCTCGGCTTCCCAAAGTGCTGAGATTACAGACTTGAGCTACAGAACCCAGCCTGAACATACTTTTTAAATCTAGGATGATCTTAAAGACTATACAAATGCATAACAATTACTAATTAAAGCTGGAGAAAAATTAGCCTAATTTGTAATGTCACAGAAAATTTCTTATCAGCTCAAAGATAATAGTGTCATAATAAAAACTATAAGGAAAATGAGTTGAAGTTAAAATCTGATGGTTCCACAACAGGAAACAACATGTTGTGAATTAACGATATGAGAGAGAATTATTCATGGAAGCCAACATAAATGAGCTCCATTAAACAGACCAGATGAGTCAATTATCCATTGTTCAGAGCATGCACACGCTACTTGTGTCAGAGGAGACGCAGAGGTATAGTGGCATCTAGCTTTGTGTTATCACCTTTGGATAGAAATCTGTCTACAACAAGATCCCAGGACTATTCGAGAATTCCCTGGATGGTAATTCATGGTTTCAGAAAGGTGTGTATGTCTCGGAGACACTGTTTTCTCAGAGCAAAGAGGAGAAGGGATTCCAACAACTCTGCTCTATGTTACCAGCTGTTTTAGAGTTTGACTTTCACAAGGATCTTTCTGTGTTGCACAAAATACCATTATCCTCTGAAATGTTGATTCTCAACAACTTCAATCTGAAGGGCAACCTGAGTATATTGACAAGCATTGTTTTAA